CCCTAGAGGTTCTCTTCCGGAGCTCCGAACCTGAGAGCTCCCCCCCGACTAGAGCCCTGGCCACGCTAGAGAGACGGAAGATAGGCGGATTTTCCAGGCGCGATCTCACCACCACATCTGGGAAGCGTAGAGCTCCCGTGGCTCACCCGAGGCTTCCTGCCGAAGATACGGGGTAAAAAACTAGTACCTCCGAGGTACTAGTTTCTGGTAATCGCGGGGTAAGGGCGGGCATCTGATCGCGTTTCCGGTGGCATCTGGCACCCGCCCATGTCCCCTTGCAAAAAGGGTTTTTTCCCTAATTCTCCATGGATGCGCACAAGCACCCAACGGAGCATGCGCATACTTTGGTGTACAACCCCCCCCAAACCTGTTTGCCGCACCGCACCGCTTCTTTGCTGCACGGCAGAATTGTCCTATAATCAGCACCTCCCCCTACCCATGGGACCTCCACTGAACCTCCACAGGAGGTCTGATCACGCAACCGCGCGTTATTTAGCCCCAGGGCAAACAGCCACACCTCCCCCCCCGCAATATCCAGCCCGTGTGACTTTATTTAGACACACTGACACATTGTTGCTGAAAGAAATCTCCAAGACAAACAAGAACAAAGTCTCTAAGAATATAAGCTTCTACTAGACTCTGTTGCCCGTTCAAAATATTATAATTTGTATAAACAACCAAATTTACCTCAACTTCTCGTCCCCTGCCCTATTCCTAACTCAACTGTGCTTGTTCAATAAAATCAACCTTTCTGTTTGAAATTCACTACGTATTAAGTGACATTTTGAAAAGGGATTTATAAGAGGGCTCCTGCTGAGGTGCAATAAATTTCTGGCCTGGGCAAAAGCCAAATAACTTCTCTATCACAGGGTGGGACATGCAGAAAGTTATAATTCTATAATTCAAATACGCTACTAAGAGGCTGCTCAGTCAGAGTTTTTGTCTCACAAAGAAGAAGGAGGGGTCTGTCATACCTGCCATCATTCGTATTAGCATTTCTGTGTACAGCATTTCCACTGTCTACATTGCGTTATTTCAGTGGAATTCAGATTTCCCCCCCAACATTTTGTAGAATTTTTGACACATTTTAAAACAATGTTGAGGATCAGGGCTGTATTTACTGTTCATGCATCCAACAAAGTGGGCTCTGAGTCATGAAAGTTTATGTCACAAAAAATCATTAGTCTAATAATAATTAATTAATTATCATATGGCAAAGTGTGTAGTAGAGCTCTGACAGAAACTACTCTTTTTCAAGAACAGCTGTGCCAGAACTATGGCATACCCAAGGTCATCCAGCAGGTGCAAGTGGAGGAGTGGGGAATCAAACCCGGTTCTCCCAGATTAGAGTCCGCGCACTTAACCACTACACCAAACTGGCTCACACAACCAACACCCCCCCAAAATGCTGGGAGTCCAGATTGGAAAGACTTTAAAGATTATTTGGAGAAATATTGGGATATAAAAAACAATTTATTTTGCTTTGACAACTTTTAAAGTGGGAAAGACATTTTAATTTAAACATACATAGATCAACAGAAAAAAAAATACGTTACCTGAGAGAACTATATATTATTAAAGAATTGGGAAAGGAGAAAAAATGTGAGAATGTATTAGAAGTTTGAGCACTGTGGGAAGTCAGAGGAGGGGGGAGATTGGGACAAAAGGATATGTGATCATTTGTTATACGATGTTTGATCTTACTTATCCTAATAAAAAATGTTTTTTTTAAAAAAAAAATGCTGGGGAGTCCAGTGGGGGAGAAAATAAGGCAAAAATCTCCTGAATTCTGGAGCAATGGGACATCATAGTTTAGCCTGGAAATGATGTTATGCCATCATTGCTATGACATCTCCCAATGACCCCGTTCCCCCGTCTCCATCTAGGTGCCAGCCACTGAGTAGCAACCAACTTACACATCTAGCCCCACAGTTATCCTAGCTCCCATGGGACTGAGTTATGTCGGACACAGGTAGGGCCTGACCTATGTACTCTGTAATGTGTAAAGAAGCAATTAGGGTTCATTTCTTTTTAATTTCTAGAGACCTTGGAGCAGAAACCCAGCCCTGAAAATGTGAATTTGAACAGCACACACTAGAAGGCATTTGCCATGGGCAAAAATTGGAAAAACGATTTATCAAGAATAGGTTACAGAAAATAGGAACTAGTATCTAAGTACAAGTGAACAATACTAATTTGTAGAGAAGGGCAGACTCATACTGCAACACTATGCAGTTACCCCAGTCTAAGTCCTATTCATAAAGGAGGAAAGGAGAATGATGTAAGCCAATCTGGATCCCTGTTGGCGTATAAATTAAGTAAATAAATGCATTTCTGTGGGCTTGAACCACAGGATTACACTTTAGAAGTGGAGCTCGCGAGTTTGTGCAGGGAAAAAAGCCACAGCATCTTCCCTTTTAATTAATGCATCTTTGTGTAGAAAATGACAAGAAGGTCATTTTTCAGGTTGCAGTTGAGAAAAATTACTCTGCCCTCTGGGCTGTAACCAACATTTAAGACGGATCTGCTACATTTCCAGGTTAAAAAAGCATGAATAGGAAAATCATTGCTTTTGTCAAAACCAACAGAAATCTTTGTATCCCTATTACCAAACTTAAGGGTTTGTTTCTCAAACCCCTCATCCAAACATTTGAGAGGGCTTCCAATGGAAAATATCACTGTTTTTAAAGTAACAATCAATAAAATCAAGCCGTGCATAATACAACAGCTGCATAAAACTATTAAAAGCATAAAAAATATTGTGCTGGTCAGCATTAAAAGAGTAAGCAGCAACAATTAATTTATTTCAACAGACATGTACAAAAATGAAATGAGAACACATGTTTAAATCCAGAAGATTATAGTCATGTATGAATGCCCTGTATAAAATAAGCTATGTAGAGAAAGTTCCTCAGGAAACCAGAAATAGAATAAAGAAAAAGAAATAAACGTCCGTGGGATGACCCAATTAAGTATAAGAGCAAACTCTTCAGTCTAAATACATAAACAGTAAACAGCTCAAACACTATAGAGTCCACAACATATAAGTCCATGCAAAAGGTCCAAAAAGGATCCACAAAAGGAAGACCAGACTTAGCGGTAAGAATGTCATGTAGAAATTGTTAATTTATTCAAATAAAAGTGGTTTCCGGATTTCTTATTCTCCTCTTTTCTAAATATTCTTCTTCAGATCAAAGCATTACTCTTTAAGCAAAATAAAATTGTTACAAAACATACTTGTTGCAAAATAAAATGCCTAAATCAGGGGTGTCAAACATGCGGCCCGGGGGCCAGATCAGGCCCTTGGAGGGCTGCAACCCAGCTTGCAAGGCCCTGGCTGTTTCCGGCTTCCTTTTCCAGTTCTGCCGCTGCTACTACATCACAGCTTACTTTACCAGACTCTCTCAGTCACACAGGAGATATATATAGGCAAGCCTCTCCTGTGCGATTGAGAGAGTCTGGTAAACCACTGGCTGAGGCTCCTCCCCCCCTCCCCCCAGGGGAAGAGAGGGAACCAGCCAGAGCTCGCTTCTGGCCAGGCTGCCTCAATCATATTCAGGAGACAAAGGGAAGCCTTCCTTTCCTTCCACTGTCTGAGAAACCTTCCTGAAGGGAGGCAGGGAGGGAGAACGAGTGAGAGCTTGCTTTGCCTCAATCACACGGCAAAAACACCAGGCACCTTTAAGACCAACAAAGTTTTGTTCAAGGTATGTGCCTTGCTACAGTGTGTTTGTATTCTGTTGGGCTCCTTATGCTGTGTGTGTTTTGTTGGGCTCCTGCCAGGGCTCTCCTGGGTGCAACTGGGTTCCCTCCCCATTTTCACGTGTTCATGCCCTCATGATCCAGTCTTTCTCAGTAAGAAAACAATGTGAAAGTTAATTGTGTTTGCCTGTGTCCTTTATAAAAAATTATATCTCTGCCACCTGGCATTAAATTGTATGACACACATGGCCCGACCCAACGAAGTCTCATTTATGTCAGATAACAAGTGAGTTTGACACCTCTGGCCTAAATCCCCTAATACAAGTCAACCTCTTATACAGCGTCAATTTCTATGTCAGTTACACTTGCTACTGCTTAAT